AGTGGGAACCGGTTCTCAACAAGAACCGGTTTTCGATACCCATCCCTAGTGACAACGTTGTAAGAGGAAGAAAAAAGTCTGACGACTGTAGAAAATTCAATAATAGAGTGCAGCAGAAAGAGCTGAGTATATCTCCATTTTCACTCTCACCTATGGTCACAAGCTTTGGGTTGTGACAGAAAGAATGAGCTTGCAGATACAGCCGACGGAAATGAGCTTTTCCTTAATGAAAGTATTTAATTTTCATTGCATGCATTAATTTTTTTTTTTTTTTTGCAATTCTGATTATCTTGTGACTTATGGCCTTTAGAAAAACTCTAAATAATAACCAAAAGGTATCAATATTGTTGTTGTTACTATTAATATTTTAATATTCACTTGTGGTTTATAGAGCAAGTAGAATGGGAGGCAGAGCCTTCAGCTTTCAGGCCCCTCTTCTGTGGAAACAGGTCCCAGTGGAAGCAGTAATGCTGGACTGCATGTGATTATGAGAATAGTTTTCCACTTCCACACTTTCTATTTACAGCTCCTAGACTTCTAACCGTTACAAACAAAATAGATCATATGACTCCTGTGTCCTTGCTGTTCTCTGAGATGCTTATGATTTATCCATCTGTCCTCTTACACGTATCCATTTTAGGGTTGCAGGCATGTTGGAGCCTATTCAAGTTGTCACAGGGTGAGAGCTGGGGTACATCCTGAACTGATCGTCAGTCGGTGTCAGAGTTGTTTGTAATTTGTTATTCATGTGGGTTCTTCATATTTAAGTCCTTGGAACACTAATAAATTTGGCCCTAGCACTAAACAGTTGTACTTTCAGGTCAGGGTAAATGCATTCAGACTGGTCTACAAAGTATTTTTTCCACTCTCCTTGCATTTGGTTCCTCCTTATTTCTCTCTTGCCTTCTGTTTGAATTTATTTTATATTTTTTTTGTCGGTCAAAGCACTTTAGAAGGTGCTTTATAAAAAAGGTTATTTCAGTTAAAAGAAAGCAATAAGAAGAGATCATTTCAAGGAAGTGACTTCCTGATTAATTCATTTACTGAAATAAAGAGTTTGAGTCTGATTAGACTTTGCTGATGCTCCATAGCAGAGCGAAGTGTACCGAGGGTCTGTCCAGGGTCTGTGGAGTACACTTAAATTACCACATATGTTAGAATTTAACTGCCAAGTCTCATTTTTTTAGAGCTCTTGTACATAAGAAACGCTGATTGTTTGGTTCTGGGGGAATTCATTTTTAAAGGGATGCTGTCACTGCTCTGAATACACCTTGATGGTCTAATGAACTTCCTCAGTTGAATGTTTCTTCCAGGTTTTTGTGAATTCTGAAATAGTTAATGGTTTCTAAGACTGTCTCTACTCAACAATAAAGAGCAGAAGAAGAAGCAGAACCCCCAACCATGAGGGGCAGCCAATCAGAAGAATTTCTGAGGAGGTTTAGTGGCTTGTTTCAGACATAGGGTTGACTTTTTGGCCTCACGTATTTTCTCTGTCTTCTGATGCAGTTTATGCAAAAACCAACATGTCAGCTGCGATCGATTACAAAGCTGGAAACATCTCTCATGTCTTATTGGAGGCTGATTTGTTTCTTTCTTCCTCAACCAGCCTGTATCCAGTGGTTCCTGGAAACGGACGCTTTGTTTCGGAGAACGAGGTGATTCTGAATAACTACTGGTTCCCGAAGAAGGTAGGAAGACACGGTTACACGCATACACTCGTATGTCTTTAAGCATCTCTCTAAAATAAGCCTTCTTTTTCCAGACTCAGTTCCATCTGTGCCATTATGAAGCCTGCCACGATGAGTCCGAGTTCACAAATGCAGAGCACTTCCTCCCAGAGCGGTGGTTTCGCAGTGACACGCCGAATAGCCGCAGCGACAGAGCCAGGCCCGGCTTCTACCAGCATAACCCTTACAGCTTCATCCCGTTCGGCGTCGGGGTGCGAGCCTGTGTGGGGAAGAGGGTGGCAGAGATGGAGATGTACTTTGCTCTGTCCAGGGTGAGTAATGCAGAGCTAGTGCTTTTTTAAGGGTACCTTTTGTACCCTCTGCACAATCTTTGCACACAGGGGGGGCAGCTGCGTTCCTTGCGAGGATTGCCTTTTTCCAGCCTCCCTCGCCTGCTTATAGAAAGCACCATGTGGTAGAAACTGGCATTGCATGAAAGTACAGCCCAGATAGTTTGACTTGAGTTAACATCCCTTTAACCCAGAACACTGTTGTAGTTTCTTCACTTTCTGTTGACAGTATTAGGTAATTTTGAAAGATTGTTAGCTTTTTCTCTGGGTTTTTTTTGTATTATTGTAGGTTTTAACTTACAATATAAAGCATCTGAATTGAATTGAACTGAAATATTTAAAAATATTTTTAAGGACTAAATGCTGAAAATGACACTAGATGTTCTCTCCAAGTGAAGACAGCTGCAGTACTTTATCTTCCTGCAGTCTACAGATGCTGGCTGAGCAGCAAGACGCTGATAAACTGGAAATAAAAACAGTAATAAAATGATTAGCGAGTCCTTCGAGGGAAATAAAAAGATCAAAAGCTGCAAGAAGGAATTTCTGCAAAAATGCCAAACAAAACAGAAAAGCTCCTTCTTTTGGAGCTCCAGCACTTGAATGCACTGAGACATGTTGTATCACTTCCTCTGTCTTATCTTTATCACTAAGGACATCTACAGGCTGTTGAATACTTTTGAAGAAGCCGGCTGGCTTAAAGTGTCATTTCAGGCTGCTGTTAAAGGTCAGCGCCTTTAGAGCGCCACAGATTTTACATTTTTAACCTTTTTGTTCATATTTAAACGGCAAACGGTCATGGCAGATGGCTGCCCCTCCCTGAGCTGGGTTCTGCTGGATGTTTCTTCCTTTTAAAAGGGAGTTCTTCCTTTCCAGTGTTGCCAAGTGCGTGCTCAGAGACAGTCTTTTGATTGTTGGGGTTTTCTCTGTCTTTACCTTACAATATGCTTCTGACACCCAGATCATGTAAGTGCTGTGGACAAACAAAACATATTACATTTAAAATATATATATTTTATCTTCTGCCCCTCGTAGTGGACATTGGGTCCTGCTTGATTACAGAATGATGTCATGTTATGGTATTCTTTTCATTTTTATTTGTATTTCTGGTAAAATTTATTTGTATTTAATGAACATGTAGTTGGATGAAGGAGACACTTGTTAACACAAAAACATCATTTTAAAAAAGTAGCTTTTTAAAAAGGAAGGCAAAAGCTCAGAGGGGGAAACCCAGGTTTTTAAAGGGCTGAGCTGCAGCAAAATGACATTTATTATGATTGATAAGTATTATGTAAGTTTGGGCGCTGATGTTGTGGGAAGGCAAACATCTGCTCATCTGCACGAACCTGGACTCTACACACTGATGCAACCTTGTTGCGCTTTAGGGCATTATTCTTTTCATCGACAGATTGCCTAATCTTAAACAATCTGTCTCAGCTTGTTGAAATTTCTATAACTACGACCTGTTATATCTGTATTCAAGTCATGTCGTAGATATGAGCATATGAAAACAGATATGCTGAAGAATGTTTGGGCTGCTTTCAGAGATGAGAATCTCCCTGTGGTTTGTGTGTTTTGACATTTTCAAAAGCCAGGTTGCCTAATTAGCATTTTACTGCAAACATCAGTCTTGGTGGTTGTGGTCAGCGTTGTTCTGTTTTTGTGTTTAAAAACTGTTTTAACCCAATAGGTTCAATTGTTTACAAAGTGAATTTATAAAGAAAGGAGAAGTGCAGTTTAATGCACTTTTAGTATATATGTTATGTTCTGCAAATCAACAGAGTAAATAACTTAGGTAATCAAACATTTAGCTACAATCAGAAGCAGCCGATTTATGGGTAAATTTCTTTAACACAGTCCTGCTATTGCTCTGCAGCTGATGCAGCATTACGAGATCCAGCCTGAAGATGGTGCACCGACAGTGGAGGCCAAAACTCGGACGCTGCTCATCCCCGCTAAGCCCATCAACCTGCGCTTCCTCCCCAGAGCCTGAAGATGGCGCCAGTGATGGCGAGCAGCTTGTACATTCACAATAAAAGTGCTCCCAGAAGTTTCTTTCTCAGTGTAACTTTAGTTTGAGCAACAGGCTAAAACTGCACAGAGGTACAAATGAGTAATTAGATAAAAATTTAAGGCCATTTCTGGTGTTTGCCAGTCTGGGTGTGGTGCAGTAACGCATCTGAGCCTTCATGGTGCAGATTCCTGTCAGCAGCCGATTTAACAAATTTCAGCAATGGTGGTAGTGAGTAAATCCTCAAGCCAGGTTGTCACATGCAGGGATTTCTCTTTAGGAACACATTTAATGGGCACATTTATCATTTTAAAGAAATAAGCTCATAATTTATCTACACATTTATCTTTATATGTATTTCTTTATATTTCCTTAGCTAACGTCTGTTATGGTCTTCCTTTATTATTTCATAATTATTGTCATTCTGTTTAGTTTTAGTCTTCTGGTATAGTTCTGGATTTTTCAGCAATTAAAGGCACGTTTTTTGTTTTTTAAACCTCCTTTAGGTTTGTGCATGTGGCTCCTCAGTTTATTAACCCATAACAGTATTTGCAAAACAGATGTTATTAGTTTTTAGTTACTACTCAAGTATAACTTCTTTGCACTGTCAGATCTGAGAGTACACTGGCTGTTAAAGCCGTTTAAACACATTACTTTATTTACTTTCATTAACTTTTACGCTGACTTTGAGTTTGACATTGACTTTGGCTTAAGTGAATCTCTGAAGTCTTTGATGATGAACCAGTAAAGTGAAATTCTCCCTTTAAAGTTTTTAAAGATTTTATTTGTGCATGTATTTACACACAAAAGAGCTGTTTTATCTTTCATAAACATATTTGTGCAGGAAGTAATTTCATATTCTTCTTCCTCTTTCAGAGAAGCCAGAAAGAGAGAAAAATGACTTCTCTGCAGAGTTTAGATGTTCACACAAAATTGAACCTAATGCCCAAATCTTGCCTTCTGCATTATATAATCACTGTAATTGTATAACAATGAGTCCTAATATCAGTGTGTGTGTGTGTGTGTGTGCCGGTCTAACTCCAAGCGCTTTGCATACCTGTTTTTATTAATCTCTTTGGTGCATATAAAGCTGGAGCAGGTGGAGCTCAAAGCTCAGATGTTGGAAGTGTGAAAATACTTATGCAGATGGGTAGTGCACACTGCCCCCCTGTGACAATAAGGAGGAACGGCAGGCTGTTTATATATTTAAAGGTGAGGTTAATAAAATATTTTACACCGATCACTGTTTGTTTTGCTGTAAGCTCAGCATCAACCACACAGAGGAATAAAGTTGGAGAGAGTGTGTGAATTTACTGAAGGAAAAACGAATGTTTACCAACTTTCTTAAAATTAATTTAGTTGTAGTTTGAAGCTCTAGATGCAGACTTTTCTAACTCGGCTCTTCCTTTTTTTTCTTTGCAATGGTTTTGAACAATTACAATATCACATGTAGACGTGGTGATTGTGATCCCAGTAAAGATGAAATGTTTGTGTTTTTTCTAAATAAATCAAGTATTTTCTTTATTTTTGACTTTTTAATTCACATTCACTGCAGTCTGGCCATTCCCCTTTAACCTCTGACATTACAAGGCTTTGGCTTGGCTCAGTGGATATTTGTGTTAACAGGTAGTTAACAGATGTAGGTAAGTGTACAGTATTGTGCAAAAGTCTTAATTCACCCCTCAGTTCTTTATATCTTCCTAGGAAAATGAGAAATAGGTGCAGCTACTGAAACATGAAGCATGCATGAAAATAAGATACATAAGGTAAAAAAACAGTGTTTTGCACAACTCTAACAAGCTTGAAAGTCAATATTTGGTGTGACCACCTTTATTCTTCAGCACAGTCTGAACTCTCTTAGGCAGCTTTCTTGTCATGTCTTTAAGTCGTCTTCAGGAATAGTTCTCCGAGCTTGAAGAACATTCAAAGCTCTTCTTTGGATGTTTCTTCCTTTTGTTCTGTTCTCTGTCAACATGATCCCACACTGCTTCAATAATGTTGAGGTCCGGGCTCTGGGGAGGCCAATCCATGAGTAATAGTGCTCCACTGTGTTGTGTGTGTTTGTTTGTTTTGTAAATTCAGGTATGTTTTTGTTTATGCCGCTGGTATTTGAGAGTGTGTTTATAAACTCAAAACAAAAACAAGATGTCTCTATCCAAACATCAGTTTTGGCTCTTTAAGCCATTGTTAAAGAATGCAAAGAGAAGGCATGACTGTACATGCACGAGGAAAATCAGGGACATCTACACAGTGTTGCGTGAGTCCTGTGAGGTTTCCCAGTTTGAACGATGCACCGATGTGATATTAAAGAGATTACACACAACAGTCTGATTTTTATTTAAGGAGACAGGAGGACAACGTCTCTTTTCTAAGGACAGATAAGTGAGATTTGAAATGAGAGTTTTTCCAGAGCAATTTTCTCACTTTTAAAATTTTTTTATTTTATCTTTTTTGTTTTTTTACGAGTGACAGTACGCACAATCAAATATCACAAGTAACTGAATCTGACATACAATAAGAGAGAAACTTTCATAACATATCGAACAATTACCTACACTCTTTGGTCCCTTTATTAGTTACACCTTGCTAGTACCAGGTTGGACCACCCTCTTCCATGAAAAATGTGATGGGAACATTACAGTTTGAGCTGATCTGAGTTTTATGACATGTGGGCGAGATTTTTCTGTGTAGTTTAGATAAAGCTACAAAGACACACAGACACAAATGGGGGGGGGGCTATGATCATGTGGTCAATGTTCTGGCCAACCGGTGACAGACCAAGTGTTACTGAAGGTCGTTGGGGTTTATTTCTAATTAAATGTGGGAGGAGAAATCTCAGCAGGTGCATAAGACTGGAGGCAGAAATCAGTCAGTAAAATACTCCTATAATTAGTGACAGGTATAAATATGACTACTCTGCCTTTAAACGCTGCTGCTTCTGTGACTTCTTCACTCTTGTTGTCAAATGCTAAAAGTTCCTTCTGGTTCTGTTTAACTGGTATTTAGAAGATCCCTCAATTTAGGGGACCCCATGACTTATAATTCAATTTGAAATACTCCGGGAAAGTGCTCCAAGGCCTTTACCAGCAGGTAGTGCCTGTAGCCTTCGATGTCAGAGCAATACTGAATTAATATTAGATAAACAGTATAAAAGGAAGCTTCATCCTGTGCTGTCTGAGGTTGCATTTAAGAGCTCAGCCTCTAGGAGCCGCTGCTAGAATTTAAATGTCCCTCCTTCATAATCAGTAAAGCCGTGCAGGCTCTGACAAGTGAGCCCTCGTCATTTATTTTTTATTTTTTATTTTTTGCAGAGGCCATCCTCTACCCGCTTAATGCGAGCGGCTCAGTATCCTCCATCTATCCATCCAGCCGGCCATCCAACCAGCCCACAACCCGGATCATCCAGCAGCTCTTTTTGTTTGCTCACACACAGCTCTGCTTTATATCCGGCATGTAACGGTTATTTTACTAATCGTTTGCTGTAAGACTTTCTCCCCGATGGATGACTAGTCCGAGCGGCCGGGGATCCACCGCCCTGCAGGCTGCTGGGGAACACTGAGCACGCCGTCCGGGGTCAAAACGGTGGAAATGGTCGGTGTTTCGGGCTCGGGAGGCTCCTTTGGCCGTGATGCGAACGCGGACGAGGCGCGTCAACCTGTCGGGGATGATGGTGAGTGGCAGATTAACGCGCACGGCGCGCTTTATTTGTCTCAAACACTTGCTGTCAAACATCAGGAAGGAGCGCATCTTTATTTTAACTGATGCTTTTAGCTGGAGAGGACGTGTTTTTACGCACTAAAATGCAGACTCTTTGGGATTTAACTGAGGCCAGCTGGCTTCCTGTGATGGATGCTGAGCTCCGGTGATGTCTGACCCGGATGGCCGCATCGGGGTCGATCTTTGGTTGGAGTCAGTTGCTTCTCATTATAGCAGATGGATGGATGGATAATGGATGGATGGAGTATTTTTAGAGAGGGCTGAGAGCATGTCTGTCTGAGTTTGAGCATTCCCAGAGGTCCCTGAAGTGATCTGAAACAAACTCCGGATTGGTTTTAAGCCTGGGTTAACCTCCTGATTTTGAATTTTAGGACTAGGATGATTCATTTTAGAAAATAAACATCATAGTTAAAGTAGTCGCTAGTTTCACTCCTAAGCTGGGGTTAAATTTGGAAAATTGGAGATAAAATTGGCATTCAGATTCTTTGGTACTGAAACGTGAGTGGATTCATTGATATATAAAGCTAACAAGCAGCATGTTTTGGTTCCACCTCTCAGGTGTTTCACGTAGACCTTTGCCAATAACAGTTATTTAAAGGTTTAACATCATCCCAAAATTACGATTGCAATTAGAAGAGTAATCATCTAGTCCGTAAAATGTTGGGACATATTGGAAAAACTGCATCACACTATCTTGGAAATCCTCCTGAATACTATTTTTAGTCCAGATCTTACGGCATTAAGAGAAACCTAAGTATCATTGTATTTGAGAGGCTGGAAGCAGAGAAAGGTTGAAATTCAGCTTTAAAAAATTATTTAGGTGATCAATTTGTCATATAGAGTGATTAATTTTCTGTCATTTTTTTTTTTTAGGACAATGGGTTTTATCAGTTGTGGTTCCATAGTGTAGAGGTCCATTGATTTGAGAACAGGAGGATACATAAATCCCTTAGAGTTGGATCAGGAAGGGCATCCAGCATAAAAATCTGTCAAATTACATATGAAGAAATACCTAAAGAAGAAGCTGAAAGTAGCACTAAATAATCCAAGTTAAATTTAACAGATAAAGTTCACAACTGCAGTCAAGAGAGAAAGAAGTCTTGTCTCTCCCAATCCAACCTCAGGCATGCCTATGCCTGCAGTGGGAAGCAGTAAATCCAAAGGTCTCAGTTGGAGTTTTCAGCTGTGACGACCTCCGTAAAGTCAGACTTTGTGATTCAAGATGGCAGCAGAGTGTTGTAAACCGTAGAACCTGTAATCTGAACCAACGTTTTTGAGTATTTGTGTTGTGCTAACTAAGCTGTATACAGACCAGACTGTGCCCATGAACATTTTTGTAGATATAAGCCCCTCCCCCCAAAAAACAAATACTATATACTATAAAGGGTTAAGCGTAGTGTATCTTTCACGTATCTGGTTTCACTTACCCAAATGCTTGCAATCAGGATAAATGGTCACACAAAGCTAGTTATAAACTTGCTAAGTTAACGCAGCATTTATGCTAATTATTCACATGAAATACGTGGTGTTTCCAGCATCTGACCAATCTAAAAGGGGCGTTTTGCAGAGCATATGACTTTTATTCCACAGAAAATTATACCTATGAGCATCACCTACTCTAGAGACATTATCAAATGGTTGGTATTTTCTGCCAACACAAAAAAGGAATAAAGTTGCATTTATTACTGATCCCCATCAGAGAAACACAAAGACACTGAAAAACTGTTCTCCCTGCAGAGGTTCAATAAATCTTTGGTTGGAAGTGAAAGACCTTAGGAGTACAGTAAACTCAGAGCCAACCTTAAAGATACCCGGATAAGATAAAGTTCAGTTTTTTAATACAGGGCTCAGGTATTGCTGTTGATCACTGAGTAGCCCTACCTCACTAGAGAGCAAAACAAAGCCTGTTTTTCTGACAACAGCCAATGGAAATGTGGCTGTGTTGTCACTCTGAGCAATGACATCCAAGTTCTGAGGGGAAAGTTTTATAATTTATACACACCTGGTCAGGTGTAGACAATTGGAAATTAAATCCAGGCTACACGTCAGTACTGCTGCACTGCCAATGGAGTGCAAAGCATGGATTGCAGAGAAGTGTGACACAAACAACTGATCTCTGAAGTCAACATTTTTCAGAACGAACCTTACAAATATCACTTACATTGTGTGATTTTTAAGCATTTTTTTTAATCACACAGTAATTTAGACTTCCTGTTGCTGCTATGACTGTGGCACACTGTGTGTGCTATGACCGTGACTTAATATTAGGTTATAGATGTTTTCTGCCACAAGCTTCAAACACCACAAAGTTTGGGGAAGATTGAACAATTTGTGAGTTTAGCTGCTTCTTGTGCTGTGGCGAAACATCAAAATTCGCCAAGATGTTGCACGAAAATCCAAATGCTTTATAAATTAGCACTGCAAACATCTTTAGATTGAACTAACCAAGGGTGAAGCCGATTTGACTAATTGTCTTGGTGGAGTACACCACTGCATAAAACCTGGAAATGGCTAGCTGTGTCAAACATTTCATACTGATGTTAAAATGGCGGACTTCCTGTTGGGTTTAGGGTATGGCTCCAAGAAGCTTTTTTTTTTTTTTTTTTTTGTACATCTTGGCATGTTACATGAAGCTGACAAACATCATACACATAGGTGAAACCATAGATTGTAGAAAAGACTAATGTAGCTTCCAGGTCATAAAAATGAACCTAAAGTGGATGTGTGTTCTTTTTAATGGCCAGCAGGGGGCGACTCCTCTGGTTTAATAGAAGTCTATGGAGAAACTGGTTCTCTATGAGCTCAGCAGATGGCTTTCCGATGTGTTTATGGCCCCATCACTATTCTCAAGTCTGAAAAAACAAAACAAAACATGTAGTTATTTTTGTAGATTTCTGTCATTATTAGAATGACCTCAGTGAGACTTAGTTTCTCTTTTAATGAAGTAGTTACTTAATTAATGATTTCACTCTTCTTTTATTTGGTTTTTATTTATATCTCATGCAATTTTATTTTACAGTTCCAGTGTACAGCACTTTGTGTCAGCTGTGGTTGTTTTAAAGTGATTTATAAATAAAGGTGATGATGATGATGAATCAGAAAAGAGGGCTTCCCAGGGTGTACTTGTGTACTAACAATTTGACAATTGCAAGGCAAACATAGCTGCTACATCTATTTTTATTCCATAACTTACTTCATAACACATATACAACATATACATACAACAAAGGTGTTATCTTTAAAGGATGTGTTTAAAATATTCATATTGTCAGAATATGATAAAGTAAAGCAGCAAGTTCTCACCTTAGAGAATCTGTAACAAGCACATGTTTGCCAGTTTTGTTTGGGGGAAAAAAAACGAAGTGGTTATTCAAGCAACATAATAGTTGCCTAACTAATTGCTGCAGCTAAAAACAATCAGCTCAAGCTGGCTGCTAGATAATTTTCAGCATTTAATGAACACTTTAAGTCTAAAATATTAAACAAACATTAATCAAGAAGGCACCTAGTCTGTAGCTGCACTCGTTACTGGAGGCAGTGGATGAGCGTTGAAGGCTTTTAATGTGTTTCTATTTTAGGCTTGTGTAGCTGTGTAAGAAGCTCCAGAAGCTGGAGACACCCAGCTGTCCTCCCCACACGTCAAGCTGAAACTCTGGGTTAATTCTGCCTTTTCATTCATCAAACTTTAACCATTTATTGCAGCAGTGGAGATGCAAGGCTTTGCACCAAGAACTGCAATCAAGTATTTGTGATAACTGGCGATGAGTCTTTCACATCTCTGAATTTTGGGACACTCTTCTTTGTAGAATTGCTTTAACCTCCTAAGAACTCTTTCACGGCATGCATTTTTCATTTCTCTTTGCTATTTGGGCAGATTGGGACCTGATGAATGTAAAAACAAAGAATTACATGATTTTTCTTTTAAACCTAATTTCTGTTTCTGAGAAAAATGAGACCCACATCTAAGGACATTCGCTTTAAATTTCGATAGAACAGCGGCAGCATAATATCCTCGTAAGTGGATATCAGGCTCTTGTAGAAAGCAGAATTCATGGTTCCATCAGTTACAGCAAGTCATCCTAAAGCAGCCCCAGACCGTCGCACTGCCACCACCATGGTGTGATGTTCTTTTTATGAAGTACTGTGTTAGTTCTATGTGAGATGTAATGGGACTCAAACCTTCCACAAAGGTCAATTTTTGTCTCATCAGACCACAGAATATTTTCCCAAAAGTCTTTGGGATCATCAAGAAATGTTTTGTTGTGTTGCTTTTTGAAAGCTTTTAACCTGATTCACCTTGTCAGTCCCTCAGCTGACAGTTTGTTCATGATTTACCAAAGGGACAAGTACTTTTTTCACTCAACCCTCCATTGTTGGTGGTTGACATCTGATTGTCCCCCTGACGGTCAGTCTTCACTAGGGTTTAAAAACATGAAACTTTCCACCTTTTTGGTTTAAGAATTGTAGAAGCCACTTGAGAAATGAAACATCTTCCAGTCACTTTTCTTTTTCAGGCTCTTAAGACTATCTGGATGACTGAGAATTTACGTAGCCATTAATCCCAGGAGGAAGCTGGAAAAGTTGCCCATGCTTTTTATATCTAGTCATCTGCTCACAGAAATATCAAAAGGTTTAGTTACTGAAGTCATTGCATTGGTTTGTGGTTTGTTAGCTTGGGAGTTGATTTAAGACCTTGAAGGGTTTGGTACCTTAGTACCTCTGTGACATGCTGTGTCTACCAACAATTTTTCATTTGCTGCAATATTATTAGTGTTTAAAAATAAAAACATTCCTGTTTAGCCTTTCAGTAGTCTACTTCCTGGTCCCAGTAATCATGTTACCTCATTTCCAGCTGCTTTATCAATTTCAGGTTACTGGTCTGTTGTTGGTTTCTATTATTATCATATTGAATTTCTGTTTATTTTATGGATTTAACCTTAGCTGTTATCTTCT